TGCTTATCTTTTTATATAATCACATGACAACATTAAAAATATATGTGTGAGTTTCATACACTATTATTACATTATTTATCATTCATGTTTAATTATCATTAACTTTTTAAAATAAGTACTACAAATAAATATTAAATGAAACGTAGATAATAAACTAATTGTGTGTAAAGTTTATAATGATAGTTGTATAAATTTTATACTCTTTTACATATAAGTTTTAAGTTACAAAACTAGCCTAAAACATAATTTATATGAAAAATAAAACATAACATAAAGGAACCCTTTAAAGGACAAAACTTTAACCAACTTGACGATAAAAAAATATATACAGAGAGAGGTGAATTTGTTATTTTATCAATAAATTTATGAAAATTGTAAGAAAGAGAGTATACTTTAGTTTATAAGAGAGTATATCCTTACTTTAGTTTATAAGGAATGAAAATTATATATTTAGTATTTGAAAAAATAATATATGAAGTCAATGACTTTACTTTAGATTTTAAACTAAATATATAATATTTATGACCTCTTAGTGTTAAATTTATATACAATTACAATTTATTTATATTTTTTTGAATAATTAATAATATTTAAAAGAGTATATTACACTCACAACCCCTGAGTTTTAATGCAATTACACAAACCACCTATTAACACCAACTACCCATCCCTCCTACATAAACCACCCATAGATATATATACATTACACTGATTGTCTATGCATTTATAAAAGTGTAATATTTTAAAGAAAAAACGTGTGATGAATGTAATTAAGTTAAACAAAATATTGTATATTGTGTAACACTTCAAATAGTACAAAATCGAGTGTTTCTTTATTATTTTTGTGTCACTAAAAAATACATTAATAATTTCAAATAAATGTTTAAATAACTCTTATACTATTTTATAACGAACCAAATAATGAAGACGTATTGACTCTTATATTATTTGAATTTGTCTACACAATATACAATATTTTGTTTAATTAATTATACACATCATACATTTTTTGTTTAAAATATTACACTTTTGTATCATGTAGGGTAGTCAGTGTAACATATGTATAAAATTAGGGGCGATTTGTGTAAGGACAAAAAAGTGAAAGATAATTTGTGTAATTTTACTAAAACTTAGGGGTGTGAATGTAGTTCAAATTAAAAATAAACGTTGAATCATTACCCATTATTAATAAATTAATTATTGAAATGTAAGGAGCATATGTATATAGTTATAAAAAAGAGAGGAGCGGTTCCTCTGAGACGAAGTTAGAGAAGAATCGTAGCGATGGATCGGGTACAATATCTGTTGGTGGGTTTGCCACTCTTTCTCTTCTTTTCCGATATCTTATCACTCTTCACCACTTCTCCGCCACCTCCGCCGACTAAACCCTCCCACCACCACCATCAAGTTGACCCTGTAACCGTCCATGATTTCCCCTCCCAGGTAGTATGTAATTTCAATTTCGATCTTCCTTTTATTATTCATAAATTCATTATCTCATTCTTCTCTCTTTCCGTGTCTATTCATCAATTCAATAGAATCCCAGCGCTGCTCATATTGGAGGACCTGTTGGTATCGGCAACATTGTCAACCTTAATTTCTGCTCTTCTTGCTCCTACAAGTATATTCTCCTTTTTCACTATTTCTCTCTTTTCATTTTCCTTATTAGGGGATTTAATTTCCACTACTTTACCTAACTGCTGTGTCAATTGCGATACGTAACGCCAATTTTATGATTTGGACAAATTCTTGAATTTTAGAGGATACACTAAGATACCACTGATATATATATATATATATATTAGCTAAGCTTTTGCTAAGGCATTGGTTTAGTCATTACACAATAATATGATGCTATTATTTATATAGTCACTGTGGTATCCCATTTATATTGGTATCAAAATAACTGTTAAGTGTCCAATATGATACCTATTTAACGCTTTTAATTTAAGTATTGGTGCTTCATAGCTAGGGACGGAGGTAGGAGAGGCCCTCCCTTCGTAATTAGTTAATTTCTTATAGCCACATTGTTATACCTTGGATGAACATCATAGATTTCGATGAAGCGCAACGCTTGCACTCTAACCATTAAGCGCAATTCATTTATATTATTCATATTTCATTAAGCATTTAAAAAATAGGTCGAGTCAGCGTAACTGTCAGTAATTTAGTCTTTCTTCTCTTTCACTTACTTTGACATTTAACGATTTATTTGTTTGATTAGATATGTAAATATGTTTTTATTTCTTTTTGAGTTCTATTATTGTTCCACATTCCACACTATAGAAGCAAAGCAATGTAATAGTATTTTATACTTCAGTTTTTATTCATCAGGTTATTAAAAAAATGGACCTCACTCTATATCTCTTTGTGGATCTTTCCTGGTTCATAGCTTAGGTGTTTTCGATAATCAGAAGTTAGTCATAGAAGCGTTATTCAAAATCTCTGTCTTTTCTTATTGTTTCATATGTTTGTTTTTAGAGAAAGTTGCTCTAAATTGGTAATTGTGTTCGATGTAGGGGAACAGCAGTAACAATGAAGAATATGTTGGAGATTGCTTTTCCTGGAACTGAGGTTGTTCTTGCAAATTACCCCCCACCGCTTCCTAAGCGTCTTCTAAGCAAAGTGGTTCCGGTTCTTCAATTTGGTATTATGGGGGTTGTGATTGGAGGGGAACAGCTTTTCCCAATGTTGGGTTTTGTTGCACCTCCTCCTTGGTATTACAGCCTGCGTGCTAATAAGTTTGGGACTATTGCCAGTACCTGGCTTCTTGGGAATTCTTTGCAGTCATTCTTACACAGCTCTGGTGCATTTGAAGTTTACTTCAATGGTGAACTGGTTGGTACCTTATTTCCATGTTTTATTTCCTATTCTTGTAGTAATATCCTTTGCTTTTGGAACCTCTGATCTTTATCTCCAGCGAAAGCAAGTTTTATTATTATTTTTTACTCTTTGTGAGCATACTTGTCAGTCAGTCATAATTGGGCAGGTCTCTCGCATGACTACCTCTATCAACATTTTTACCACTTCACATGATTTTCCCAGTTAGTTGAGTATTCATAGCAAGATCTTAATTGCTATCCTAAGTTATGTTAGTGCTATCATTAATTTTGGCACTATGGGAGTACCAGTTTCATTGTTACATTCTTCCTTCATGTAGGGCTCTTTGTTTATTATTAATGCCATTTGCATTGGGTGATGGTATTTAACAACCAAAAACTAGTTTAGGACGCCTGCAACAAGATCTTACTTTGAGATTGTGGGTGGACTTAAGAATGGGAGCCTGACATAAACTCCATCAAAATGAGAAACATCTTTGTTGCATTGTGCCAATTGCCAAATAATGCCTCCCTGTTAAGTTCTTCTTTCGACCTACGTAGTTGGGAACATTTACTTTCAGATTACCATTACATCAACTTGCTTTTTCAGGGTAGTTTGGAGGGGGCAGTTTTCTACATTATTTTCAACCGTCATGTATCTGGTTTAGCAGCATTATATTTTGATTATTGGGTTTATTGGCTTCATTGTTTAAAAGTATGTACTTTGGTGGGTCGTTACCGTTAGGTTTATTTGTATGTTAATGAACTATTCTTTCACGTATTGTTTCATTGGTTATATTTGATGTTTGAATTATGAACCAATGGGCTTTTTCTTTCTGAAAATGGCATATAGGTTGTAGGTGTTCTTTGAATTTTACTCATTCTGCTTAAAACTGCTTAAACAAATTTTGACTCCCTTTCTCCTCCCAATGCTCCGTTTGACTCTAGATTTTTATGATGGTGGTTAAAAGGTCAAGGGAAATATATTGCATCTTGAATGCTTTTGAATTTCTTATTAACTCCTTCAAACTCTTGTGCCCTTTGAAGGTGTTCTCTAAACTGAAGGAGGGAAGGTTTCCTGGAGAAATAGAGTTAAAGGATCTGATCAGCAGAAGGATGGCAAAGTCTAAACTTGCTGGCTTTAATGGAGGAGGAGACTTGTATTGACCAGGCATGAATGATGCAATTGTACCTACCATTGCTTTTTGAATTGAATACTGCTATACAGACATATCATAAGAATATCATGTTATAAGGTTTCCAGCTGTTTATACTGGAAAATGAGTTTTCTGTATTGAAAGAACCTAGTAACCTACTGAAAACAATGGAAGTTAATTTGTTCATGTGGTAGGTAGACTTATACTCTCATTCTATCCTCAACATTATGATATTTTGTTATTATCAGCTCAAGTAACTCATTCGTGAAAATTTGAAGGATAATCAATTAGTAATTAAGGCTACTTTACTCTGTCTAAGTAGACCCTTGCTCTAAACCGCGTGTTGTATGTATATATCAAGTTATTGTAATAGTCACACGTGAAGGGCCAAAAAGGTTAAACAGAAATGAAACAACGGTTCAAAGAAATAAAATCTCATGTAATATAGGTTATAGGTGATTTGAGACATATTTTAGGACAACTGATCATTGTTTATATACCTCAACTTTTAAGATTCACACCTTACTTTTAGTGTGAATTATTAAATTACTCATTTTACAAACAAAAATAAACTCGTTCTCCATTTCCTCTTGATTCTAGCATCAATTTCTTTCTTCTTCCTCATCTCCATTGCTCAAACTGCTATTCCAATTCACTTATCGCTACCCACTTACTTTTGAATATTTTTAACATTTATGTTTCATATTCAATATCGCAGTAGATTAATACAACTAACAAATAGATAAAAGAATCAAATCAGTTATTCCTTTATTTTTATTATAGATTATAGATAGCTACATTTATTAGTCTAAAATTCTCAAAATTGTTTTTATTGGGCCATAAAATGATCACATCTAATTAACGGTTCTTAATGGGCTGGGCCTGGGCTGTTTGTGTTAACAGAAAAACGATATGAAGCACTCGATCAAAATCATCTCATCTTAACCATCCGATGAATCAACCATTCGTTCTATATAAAACCACAAGTAATCCACCACTGCCATATCTCAACTCTTATATCTCTTATTCGCCTTTGCGGCTGAAATTAGGGTTTCAGAAACTATAGTTTGTTATTCCTTACATTTATCTTATTCAATTTCGATTTCATACTATGCTTCTCTATCTGGTTGGTGCGGATCTATTCAATTCCCATTCAACTCGTTCCCTTGAAGCGAAATTGATGTGTGTTGTTCTTTTATACTATCTCCCTGCAACTCCTCCATGTTGATTTGGGAGAATAATGGAGCAGCTAAATTTATTTCAAATTTTCAAAGACATATTTCATTTATTTATTACCGTTTTCTCATTGATTGTGTTACTGGGAGTGTCATATTTTCAACTGTGATGAGCCTACAGACCTGTAATGATTTGCGGCCATGATCGCAAACATTTTTGAACATCTAAGGGACTGAGTTTATTGATGCCACCCCCAGTTTTATAATGTTCTTTTTTATTGATTTTACTTTCAAATTTTTTCTACTATATTTGAGGTTTTTTGAATATTTGTTTTAAATTGGTTAATTGTTTGATAGAAGGCTTGAATATTCATGAGGTTTTGCTTGCACTTATATAAATGTGTATGGTAAAGTTTTGATTGAAGCCCACAAATTTGTTCCCCTCGCTATCCAATGTTGCAATTTGTGTGCGATATTAGGACGTCGGGGTACTAAATATTTCTTATTTATTCATACTATTATTTTCTAGTATTGTTCTTTGGTAGATAGGGATGATGCAAAATATATAATCCAACACTTGATCTGAGATTATTTAGTGAAGTTAAATTGATTTATATGCTTCTGAATCTACCTTCTTCAATGTTTCTATCTTCAAATGAATAGTGTGATTATTTGAGTTTCTGATATTTTTCGATTTTTAATTCTCTTTATTTGTCACCGTTCTTTGTTTGTTTCTAATCAGATGATGAAATTGGAAAAATCTTAGGACACCTTCCTACACAGCAATTATGCTGTGGATGAGAATAAATTTTCCATTCTGATGATGTGTTTAATAATATAATTCGGTATATATTCATTTCGTTCAATCGAATGATGAGATAAACAATAATCTCGCTTGAACCTTCTGAAACCAGTGTTCCTTAGAAAATAAAACCATAGTTCAGCATTATTCACTGTCATGGAAACTACTAAACAAAACTGGTGCGTCACAATTCTAGAATATGTCATAACCGGCATTGACAATCAACCCATATCTAAGCAAGAAAAGTGTAGTCCGCACACCCTAACATTACGACCCAACCTTCTGAGAAAACTTTTCCTCCAAGATTATGCCATAAATTCAATCTGCTCTACGGATTTATATTTGCATATAAAATAAGAATTACCTATAAATAATATAGCACACTATAAATGCAGTGCACTCACTACGACTAACAATTTCGGTAGGTGCGGGTCCGAATCTTTTTTATGTTAATTTTTTAATAATAAAAGTAATGTATCTAAATCCTTTGTAATTTAAGTATAATTCAAATTATATAAATATAGATTTTGTATAAGTTTTATATATTATTATTTAATCATTTATTACTTGTTTTATAATTTTGACTTTTCTAAAAATAATATAAATGAATTGTATATGAGGTATTGATTTATATAAATTGTAATACTGATAATGTATAAAAAAATGTATACACCGTGTAAAATTAGGTGTGACAATATGGGCCATGACTCGCTAAAATAATTAAAATGTCAGTTAAATTCATATTTAGGGTTAGCAGGGTGATTGGTTCACTTGTTTTTTCTAATAATAAAATGTTCTTTTTTTCATTAATGAATCAAAAAGAATGAAGTTGTCCCCATATTTCTTTTCAATAACCCAACATGTTTTTGTTTCTTTTCAATAATCGATCACAATTAATGAAGTGGGTTCTCCTTTGTGTTATTTTGATTTTGAACCCTAAACTAAAACCCTAGAAGTGTCCGGTACGACAATTAGTTATATTTTCTTGATAAGGGTTATAAGAATAGGATTAGAAGTTTAAGTAAAATATACTAAATAATATCTCATAAGAAAGAAACCTTTGACATCAACCACGTGAGTCCAGACCAAGTATCAACAATCTCACATGGCATACTACTTACTATAATCAAATGGTATAATTTTATCTTAACCAAACAAAACTTAAGACAAGAGAAATTAATGTGAATTGTTACCTTCTTTATTATCCATGTCACAACAGACCGTTAGAAAACACATTCCTGAGACAGAACTTGACTGGTTCGGTCCGACACATTCATGGTACAATCAAAAATCAAAATCTGGCTTGGTCACGCCACAAGCAAGGCACGGTCACGCAAGGCAATGTGACTAGGTCAAAGACCAAGTCTGATGCACCATGGTCTGATGCACTCGGTCAGCAACCTCCCAAGCATGGCATGATCACCCATGACAATGTGACTCGGCCAAGGACCAAGCCTGATGCACCATGGCCTGATACACTCTGTCAGAAGCCGAAGTCAACTACAAGGAATGGGCATCTGGTTTCTTAACATTCAAGCAACCAATATTATAATCCTTTATAATCTTTATTGTTAGGATAGTTTAGTCATATCTTAGATTAAATAAGATATATTTCTAATGTATAAATACACCCATTGTAAGTCCATGTAAATGAATGAAACTTTCACACTCCAACATCACTCTAATTCTCTTCTTTTGTAATATTATTCTCAAAAGTGATATTACTCACATATAGACTAATTATAGGTTAAGTTTCAAAACAATACTATTATATTATATTATATATATATATATATATATATATATATATATATATATATATATATATATATATATATATATATATATATATATATGAATTAAAACCATTTAATAAATGAGCTTTCAAACAAGGTCGAATATGAATTTTTAGGCTAATATTTTTAATTTGACCTACTAAAAATGTCAATCCAAATGGGTTGATCCATCGAACCAAACCCATATTATCATCCATATATAAAAGTTTTATACATTTTCTATGTATCATCAATCATTTATGTTTACTTTTTTTAAAAATAATAATAAAAATAAGTTGTAGATAATGTATAGCACTAATACATATATTATGGTCGTTAATAAAGAATATATGAGAATTGACGTTTGAAATGTCTCAGATTAAGATAGAGTTGTCGATCCAAATATAATCTCAAAACTAGGGATGACAATATGGGCTTGGCCCGACGAGCCAGCCCGTTTTGATCAACATTTTTAACGGACCCAACTGAGGATTTTAACCCAAAAGCCCGTATTCAACCCGGTTTGGAAGCCCATTTTTCAGACGGGCCAAAATGAGACGGGTTGGGCTAGCTCGGTGGCCCACCGTTAATATTGCTTTACCATTTTAAGGTTATATGTTATTCCAATAATGTAGTCAATTTAAAATTGTTTTCCAACCGAACATTTTACACTTACCGTGTGCAACCAATTTATTATTCATATATAAGATATTTATGAGTAAATTACTTATAAATGTAATTTGTATCATATACAATACAATACAAGACATTTACATATCAGTGTTTAATTTATATTGCATATCATATTTTGTTCAATTTAATTACATTTATAACTTTTTTGTTTAAAAAATTACACTTCTCATGCACGGTTCATCAAAGTAATGTAAGTTTATAAATTAATGAGTTTTTTGTAAGTGTAGAAAATGGAATGATAGTTTGTTTAATTTCACTAAAACACTTGAAATATCACTGTAATTTACTATTTAAATTATTAATAAACTTTTCATTATGAGTAAATTATATCATATACAATACATTTATATTATATACAAGACATTTACTTATCAATATAATTTATTCTTTAAATTGGTTAGCAATCTACACTTCCAACAGAGTATCTAATGTTTAAAACATAGGAGTTTGAAGCTTTATTGTGAACTATGAGTCCAAAAGTTTAAAACTATGTTGGCTAGTTGCTTAGAACTTTCAAGTTTTAAACCAAAACGATATATTATTGTGAGATTGTGGACTTTAGTTTTTGATTTTTTGTTTTAAAATACATTTACGATGCGTTATGATTATTTATTTTTGAAATTGTGATTGAATTGGTTATAAATGTGTTTTTTCAAAAGAAAAAAAATGGGTCAGCCCGCCGACCACCAAATATGGGACGGACTAACATTTTGAGTCATTTTAGCAATAAGGGTCGGACTAGCCCAATCCATATTTTGACGGACCAAAAGTAGGCTAGGCAGGGTCGGGCTGACCCATTTTGTCATCCTTACTCAAAACCATAAGACTTTTGCCATTTTTTCAATCGTTTAACCATGTGGAAAAGTTATACTTTCAAGTTTGTAATGATTGTACAACTAATCAATGTTATTAAAACCGTACCGGTTATCAAACCGGTCAGGGTACCGGTATAGTGATACAGTGGTTCAACCAGTGGTTCAGTAATTAAACCGCATGCCGGTTAAACTGAACATACTTGCTTATATATATATATATGTAAACCTATAACAAAAAATTTCAAATAAGTAGATATTCATATTTATAATCCATATTCATAATTTACTTCAAATTCACACAAACAAACAACATTAAGTCTTTAATAAAATCAAAGTCTAAAGTGCAAAACATATATTAATCCAAAATTATCACTTAACAAACGCAAAATACAAATAAATGACCCAAGTATTAATCATTGAAGTTGAAGAATTGGTGAAGAATTGAAAATTTGAAATTTAAAAAAAAAAATTAATATACAAACCGACCGGTTTAAACCGGTTTTGACCGGTTCTATTGCATATGCTGTATAACATACATACCGTACCGGTTAGGGGTCCGGTTCACCGGTTTTCCGGTTGAACCGGCCAGTACGACACGGTTTTTAAAACATTGCAGCTAATTATGGTCAGCGAAAAAGTAAAAAAAAAAAAACAACTTTTTTCTTCAAAAAAGCCAAAGTCTTCAAGATATATATTTTAATTAATTAAATATGAAAGTAAATAAATATTAATAAAATTATACCAAATAATTATTAATATAAAATTCAAAATAAATATGATTTGTTAGAAATAAAAAACCGTTCTAGTTAAATTCAAAATAAATAATAAAAACTTAAAAAGTAATTCGGCTGATTTGTTACCATAACTACAAAATAAAATAAAAAGGATATAATAAAATAACACTATTCTTGATAATTCGTTTGTTAAATAAATTATTCCTATTTATTTCTTTGAAAAATATAAAGATTATTATAAATAGATAAGTGATTAATTAGTTAGCATCTTTTTTTCAGAATAATCCAATTAGAAAAGGCTCACATATTCATACATAAATAACTCTAAATCCTTAGTTAATGTACACGAATAAATGTACAATAAAAATACAAGAAAATCAAAAGGATATGAGTGAAATTTTATTTCATTCCTCTTCTCCTTTCTAATGTTAGATGCTAATATCTATTTTACTTTTATCCTCTTATTTATTTATTTTGATTATATATAGTTAACCATAAATATTTTTTATTATTATATAATTAAACAATAATTAATTTATTGATTTTCGATATTTATGAATAATAATAAATATTTTATTTTACATAAATAAATGTTGATTCATTTATTTAGCTAGTTTTTTTATAAATAATAATAATAAATATTCATTTCCTTTAATAAATTATGAGGATAAAGTTAAAAAATAATATTATTCTAAAAAACAATAACAAAAAGAGTAGTATATATAGATTGTTAGTGTAAATAATTTTATATAATAAGTACATAAATCATCATTTATTTGTATTGTTTTTTTAAGAGTCAATAATAATTAAATTTAAATGGTTGAGAATAGAATGATAATATATAAAATTATTACACTATCATCACATACATTTTTCTTTAGAAAAACATTATAGAGAATTATGTGAGGGCAACAACCAAAATCATATGTCCCACACTTTTAAGTTAGATGTGGTAAGCATATAAAGTTATACTTTGAGCAAATGATTAAGTGCTTGATATTCCTTTAAA